TTTAAGAATTTGCATCAATATGTTTCTCAGTCTTGAATTTGAATCAATCAGGTATCTGATTTTTGTTTGCAGTGAGTGCGCAAACAAAAAAGCTGAGTGTGTTAAGTGACATCCCAGCAAACATACCCGTGTGGACCCACTGTGGGTTTTCTGTGGGACAGTGTGGGCAGAGCAAACCCACACTAAAACCATGTGGGTTAGCCCACGTGAGGCCCACAGCAGTTTTGGGGGCCCTATGTGGGTTTTCTGTGGGCAAGCCCACTGCGGGTTATAATGTTTTTTTTGTTTGTTTTTTTTTATGATTTTATTTTTTTTTTATCTACATGCAAATGTTGCATTAAAATTAGATTTCTGTGGCAATGATAGTAAAATGTAAACAATAAATTGTCCACAAAAATGTAATATATTCAACAGCTCATCCAATACTTAACTAAAACGGCACACGGTCAACAAGAAAACCACTTGGTTTGTAGCTGCTTGCAGACAAAGTCAGACAGATTATTTTACCATATTACAGTAGTTCAAACCCCAATTAGACCTCATCAAAACACTCAATAAACACACACACACACACACACACATTATATATATATATATATATATATATAATAGTATACATTGTTTTTGTTGTAATATTCATATTTGTATATAAATACATTGTAGGCTATTATTAAATCAAATGTACAGATCATTGACTGATTTGTTAATTCATTCATTGTTAGTATTTATTAGTGATGTAAAAATGTATTAAATATTTCTGCAAGGAAAAAAGGAAAAAAGTAATATTAAATATTCTAATACATTAAATGGCGTGTCAGCGCTTTAGCACGTGATTAATTCTAGCCAATGAGACTGCAGAAACTCTGCATCGTTAATGAGCTGTCATTCCGACTTCAACTGGTACCGCCCAGCTCTGCTCAACCAGGTAAACCTTTCAGATTTCTTAGTTAATTTCTGAGTTTTCTATTAAAATTTGTTAAATTCATCAAAATAGTTGTGAATTAATTAATAGGAATTAAATTACACCCATTTTAGTGGTTATCCAGCAGGCACACGTCATAAGACGTTGATATTTGGTTACATTTTGGTTGTGACGTCGGGTGACCAAAATTCAATGTAAATTCAACGTCTAATGTCAATGTTAAATTGATGTCCAATACCGACGTCAGTTGACGTTGATATTTTGTTGTTGTTAGGTTGTGTAACCAAAATCCAATGTTAAGTCAACGTCAAATTGACATCAAATATTGACATCAACCCGATTTTCATTTTCAACCAAAATGCAACGTCTGTCTGACGTCATGTCCAAGTCAACCTGACGTTACATACAACTTTGGTTTTATACCATTAATGCAATGTTTGTCTTCTCTCTCTTTTCAGTTTTGATTGCCATCTAGTCCTGATTGCAGAGTTTAGCTCCAGCCCCAATTATGTACAGCTGAACAAGCTGATCACGGTCTTCAGGATTACCACAAACTTCCATTCAAGTGTGTGGTCAGGTTGGAGCTAAACTCTGCATGATGTTGGTCCTCCAGGACCAGGACCAGAACTGGACACCACTGTAGCAGCCTAGCAGCCAACCTAGCAGGCATCCTGCATCTCTTTGCAAAGTTGAGAAACACTGACATTTTGATTAGTCAAAATAAATTATTTTTCATTTGTATTGATATATGCAATATTTCGCTGATATTCGTTGATTTTTCCTCTTTTTCTCCCTTTGGCTTGTGTCAACTGCAGATAAATAAAGAGCCACCAGGCACAGGTCGCTGCATCTTTTGTCATGTAAGTACATTTAAGTTTATTTAAAGCTGCATATACATGCATGAAGTTAAAGTCATGAGAAATTTCTTAAAAGGATCGTTCTTTCAAAAATGAAAGTTCTGTCATCAAAATCACTCTATCACTCTCATGTTGTTCCAAACTTGTATTACTTACTTTCTTTTCTAGAATGCAAAAGATGAGATTTAGAAGAACATTATCGCACTCCTCTCAGCCAATCAGATTCGAGGACCAGAGAGAACTGGTATATATATGGTATATATACAGGGCTGTCAACGTACATGTTACCGCATGCAATTAATTTTATAATCCTTAACGCATTAAAATAATTTAACGCAATTAAAGCAAAATTACTGAAGCACAATTTCTATTCTAACCCTTTACCCCAATTTTGTTTCTCTGCTTGCGATCAGGTCATTTTAAGCCGCTAAACTCCGAGAAAGTTTTCAGTCCAATAATCCAGTAAGCTAATGCATTCAAACAATCAGTCCAAAACAGCGCTAATATAAAGGAAACCAGGCTGATTACATCAGAGACTGCAGAGAGAATAGAGACTCGCTTTGCGTTTTCACTGAGTTATTCATTCCAGTGTGTTTTGCTTTTAAACACGAGCTCTGTCATATTCAGTGATTGTCTCTGAAGAGTGCGAGCCCTCACACGTTACACGCGCTGTGTGAAGTACAGACTGAATGGAATGTCAACACATCCCAACGCTGTATGGCCAGATCAGACGCAAACCTTTCTTCACTGGATAACCAGTGTCTCGCTAGTAAAGTTCTGATGGATGAAGACTGCAATCAAGGTTAAGGCGATTGCAGTGGGGTACCGGAGTCGTACAGTAAGCACATGTGAGTCCGTTATAATGCGTGTATGAGTGCTCTTGAGCAGGCGGTTGGTTTAGGAGTTTTTGGCATCTCCATGTGGTCCTGTTTGGTATCGCAACTTGACTTCTCTAAAATATAAAAAAAGCTCTTTGCTGTTGCACTGTACACATACTTTTTTTTTAGCATTTTATTCTTTCATATATGCTTATATGGGCTCCTTATATCATTTGGTTCTTTGGTGTCCTTTTTTGGAAAGACATCAAAAGATTGAAGGGTGATTCTCAAAAATCTGTATTTTCTGCAGAAAAAGGGTGTGATTGAAGATGAAGAGGAGGGTTTCTTTTCCAGAGACTGTATTATTGTCTCTGTTGGTATCTCCACATGCAGTACAACTGAGTGAGCAGTATTGACAGATAATACATTCCCTCCAACACTGATTACATAAAGCTGTTTCCATTAATGACCTTTAGCGACATTGAACCAAGTGTTGACTCTCACACAATGCAGTTTCCCACAGACTTACACTCTTATGTGTGGTGGCACTTCCCCCGGGGGAAATATATAAAACTGCAAACGGGCTTATTGAAAATGCAAATTCCTTCTCTGCCAGCAGGAGGCACTTTTGGGGCAGAATTAGTGGTTTCCCCGGTAACGGCTGTAGGCATAGCAGAGCTTGAGCTCACTAAATGAAAATGACATCGATCCTTTTCTGAAGACAGTCAGTTCTCTTCAAAGATACATTCATATAAAACACCTGGGCCGTGTGTTGACTTTGAAACGTGCAGAGCTCATGCTTATACAACGAAGTCAAAGCCTTTTGGAAAATCTATTTGTGGGGGTCAGTTTTGATATTGTGGTGGGCTGCCACAAATAAATCAATGTATGGGAAACACAGAAATGCTAAAACTATATCTAAAGTATGTGGCATGGACATTTTGTGTATGGAAAGAATACCTGGTTTACCTAATACATTTGTCAAATTTTGTATTATTCAACAGAGCGCTCTGTGTGTAATGTATCCCACAATGCAATGCACTTGACTCAGCCAGTGTGATGCATGATTTTAAATATCTCTTTCTTGACTTTCTAATTTATCAGATTAAAAGTTATGACATTATTACACTAATTTGGATAAATAAATAAATACGTTTTTAAATGTTTATCCCTGCATTTTACACTGTGCTGTTTGACTTTTTTTCTAGTCTGTAGTATACAGTGTATATACGCTGCAGTAAGCTAGTATTCTGTTCCAAACATACTGTAGCCTGAGCATCATGTTTCTTTTCCCAACATGCACCTGCCCAGCATCCATAATCACTCCAGCAGCTGCTTCTAAACGCTGCGTTTGCACTGCTGTGCTCCAGTTGACTTTCTAATAGTTATCTTCTGATAGCTTTACTCCAGCCAAATGGCATCATGAAACCTGTCAACACGAGAGCCAGCCTATAAACCACTCTCTCAATTCTAATAGCTCAATGGCTCAATAGCATGTACCACTTTTTGACCACCAGAGGGCAATGAGAGAACAGATGCAGTTTTCGACTCTCGTTGGTTTCAGTTTCTTGTGATTCAAAGTGTAGAAAGGAATGAACCTGAACAGTCTGGTGTATTTAAGTGACACTGAAGTGGAGATTTCTGGCTCAGACACCGATAGATAACGTGTAATTATAATAATAAAGTGTAAAAGTGTTTTCTTTCCATTAGTCTGAAAGGAGACCATTTATGGAAGCAAAATGCAAAAATCTCAGAATTGACCAATGCCTAAAAAAACTGAATAGAAAATAAATATTAACGTTTTCCCAAATATATATATAATATATATATTATAAGCAGAACCAATGCATAAAATATTGAATAGACACAGTAATTTGTGGGTTCATAAATTGTGATTTTAATTAAACTTAACATGAATTGCAATATAACACAAGTGAGCAAAAAATCTATTCAGATTTTTTTTTTTCTTTCTTTTTATGAAAGCATTCAGCATGCTCACCATACAACTTAAGGGATGACACTCATGGCAATATTACAAATGTGACTGGTAATTTCCAAGTACTAATAAATTAGGGTGAGCTTTCATGCATCATGTTAAAAATAGGTTACTGAAGTAACCATTCACAACCCATTTTACCTCTGTAATCTCCTATTTCCAAGTGAAACAGGATATAAAATGAGAAAGAGTAGGATGGACTTTGATTTTATCCAATGGGAATTGACTGAATGGTGAAAAATGGGTGTTGCACACCAGAATGCAACAGGAAAATCTATGAATTCAAATCAAATCTGAGTCCATATGAGTGTAAAATCAAAATGTAAATCTGTACCTTGAATGCAACTTAAGTTGCTTTGAATAAAAGCAACTGCCAAATCCATAAATGTAAATATATTTGGACATGTAAATCTTGCTTTCAAAGCTATAGGGCATCAGAAATCATCGGTAGAGGAACAAGACTCTTACTTTTTCGCTACTATGAGGCTGTGATAGAGGGGCTTCACAATAATGTGCAGGTAAAGCGAGCTGTCAATGAGGTACTCGGATGCTCTACGCTGCAGGTCCGCTTCCAACAGGAAGTCTCCCGCCTCCTCCGTACTCTGGTGGAAGTTGTAGACATGACGGACCACCACCTTCCCCTGCTTCCGGGCTGAAACGATGACAGTCTTTTGAAAGCTGACGCCAGCAAAGTCTGGGCTCGAGGTGGCCGGTGTGATGATGATCCGTGGACGCCCTCCATCGGTACGAGTGGGCTGCAAGGATCCCTGCTCTGGATAAGCAGATCGCACGCTTAGAGGAAGCCAGCGGGGTGAGAAAAGAGCGTTCCAGGTCACGCGTTTGCTGGCGTCGTAGCCACTCGGTCCAAGTTGAGTCTGAAAACTGAAGCTGCGGTCGTCCCGCGTTGGGTTGTTGATCACCCACGGGGAGCCCCATGCTTGCGACAGGTAGTTACGTGGCGTAAAGAGGCTGCAGTTTACGTCAAAGTACTTTGCGAGCTGGATGGGTGAGGCTGCGTGGAACTGGAAGGCTAGGAAGAGCAGATCATGTACCGATTCGTAATATTTCAACATCACAGACGACTTCTTCTGTAGGTGGAACAAGTGTTGAGGTGATATCATGGCGTAACGTATTGCGTTAAGGGCGCTCTTGGCCGTCTCAACTGAGGGCTGGTTCTGGTTGATCCAGGCTTCCAGAGCTTCGTACAGCTCCAGTTCACTCTGCAGAATCAGGTCTGAACGCTGCAGCAAAGTAAGCAGCAGTTCTTCGCTCACTGAGCTCCATTCGGCGCTCTGTAGAACCGATGACAGGTTCCAGGACAGGTACTGCAGGCAGCTGTTCTGCAGGGTCACATCCCCAATCTGCGTGGCGTATTGGTACCAGCTCACCACATGACCCGTGAGTGAGTCGCTGGACAGGTGCTGGGTCATGTATTGGGTGAGGCCCTGCTGGAGGTCCCACACGTGGTACTTGCTGGCGAGCTTGTGTAGAGGAATGACCTGGTTCAGACGCACCGTGATGTCACCACAATATAAGTACCTGCAGGGAAAGAGGTCGGGTTGGAAAAAAATCAACCTTTGATTTCCCTGAAACTTTATCTCCATAGCCTGTGAAGAATGATAATGCTACACTAAATGGTGCACTAATGGTGTTTTTCTCTGTTCATCATCAATTTATTTATCTGTCAAAATGCGAGGTCTAGTTGTAGGTTAAAACCTGGAGATATTCATGCATCAGTATTGTGGCCTTGAGACTGTCCCTGTATTAACAGTACTTTGGTTGCAACAGTTTTAAATCTATACAATAGAAAATATATATAATAAAAAATGGGAAATATAAATAAAATGAATTCAATTTATTTATGTCAAAATGCGAGGTCTAGTTGTAGGTTAAAACCTGGAGATATTCATGCATCACTATTGTGGCCTTGAGACTGTCCCTGTATTAACAGTACTTTGGTTGCAACAGTTTTAAATCTATACAATAGAAAATATATATAATAAAAAATGGGAAATATAAATAAAATGAATGTTTGGTTGAAGAGCTACAACATCGAATACATACACACATACAGTGGGTACGGAAAGTATTCAGACCCCCTTAAATTTATATATATATATATAAACATTTTATTTAAAATCTACAATATTAAATAAAAAAGTAAGTTTTCAGTTAAACATTTTTTGTTAATCTACAATATCAAATACAAACAAATTAACAAAATTAAATTAAATAAAGTATTGACAATCTACAATATAAAATTACAAATGTAAAAAATAAACCTATTTATTAATACACCTTGCATATTGTTTACGGGCCATTATCGTTTTAAATGAATCTTTTGCTCCAGTACTTCAAAATACAACTCAAAAAGAGAAAGTGAATCTAACAAAATGAGATTATTACAAGCAATACATTACTGTCTACCAAAGTCAACTAAAAGGCAAAAAAGATTATGTCATAGACTTTTTCCTAGAAAACCCAGTTGGTTGCTCCCAGTTAGTGGAGTGTTGTGGTTTATTGATTATAGATTTAAGCTGGTAACTGTAAGGTTGTAGGTTCAAGGGTAATTAACTATCACCTCAATCCTAGGTTATTCCCTGGGGGTTGTGCTTATAATAAGTGTTCTATAAATCGCTTTAAATAAAAATGTTCTATATGACTAATTAGTAATGAATCACTCACCTAATGAACTTGTCAAAGACAGCTGCACAGTCCGGCGACTCTCTGAGGACCATCGCAGTGGAGTTACGGGTCTGTAGGAGCTCATCAAACACGTCGCTCTGTAGAGTCAACACCAGTGAATGGACCTGGATCACCTTCACCTCGTCCGTGTTTAACGTCTGGACACGCAGGATCACGTCGCTGCCGTTTCCCTGGGTCAGCAGGGCCTCCATGCGCTGCACCAGCGCCATTGAATGGTTCAGTGTGGTAGCACTGTTCTCCAGCACCACATCCGACTTTAATGCAGCTGCAGGACAGAAACAGGAGATTTGTGAGCAGAGTGGATTAAGAAAGAGGGCTTTTTAATATTTCACAACTTCAGAAGAGTAACAAACAATTTTTATGCATTCAAAAAACAAGAACAATGAGTGTTATGAGTAATTTAGATGTTCTTGCATGCATTTGCACTGCATATTTGATCAGTTATTGAACAATGTATGAACATAATCTTTCAAATAATTGTAGCCATTCTTGCTTGTATGCAGGGCCGTCCTTAGCTGGGGGGGGGTCCCCTCAGTCCGTTCGCAGCGGGACCCAGTGAGACTGCACCAGTTGCACCCCCCTAAGGACGGCCCTGCTTTTAGGTCATCTATGTAGTTGGAACCAGTGTTATGAATGCAAAACACCCAAAATATTTTCTTTCTGGCACTCGACTGCAAATTTTCATTTTTCCAAGCAATCAGAGGCATATAAAATTAAGTGTTAGACAAATTATATTGCATTTTGGCTTCCAAAGGCAGTTTTAAATGTGAAAGAGCCCAAGTTCAGGCTGAAAAAAGGAGGAAAAAGTTTGAATACAAAATCACAAGCAAGATCGTAATGAAAGACTCCGACTGCTGCTCGCTGCTCAAGTCATGTGACTCATTCACTCACACCTGACAGTTTGAGCAGTTCACTCATTTGAAAGCTATTGCATTTCCTGTAAAGATGGTGACTTGTATTATAAAATGAACAGTGCAACGTTATGTCTATATAAACAAATACTTTAGATATTTAGATTTTTGTGTGAAATGAATCATGTTTGTAATCTATATTAGATATATCATTGTGCTTTTGTGCAAATTATGCAACTACTGTATAGAAAATGACAAAATAAAGTCCTAATCTTTGCTCTGATCATATTACAGATGGCTAAATAAAAACGATTGGAAAAACCTCACAACATACAAAAATATATGGCTATTCTAGCAACTACTAAAAAAATCGATGATCTTACCTCCTACACAAAGTGCAACACAAAGGTTGGCCAGACAGACCACGGCAGGAACGCTTGCTCCGGAGTTCACCATCTCTCGTCCTGGATTAATGTCGTCCTTCCTTGCCTTTTTTTCACGCCAGCCTCTCTCTCTGTGTGTGCTGCCCAGTCTCCCTGTCCCACACTCTTTATGTAGGACATTGGCACATCGCTGAGCATCTCTCAGCCTCATGAAGCCCATTGATTGGTGGAATCCGGTTGGGCCGTTGCCATGACGACCGCTTTGATTGTGAGTTTCTCCTCTTTCAATGTTACATGATATCGATCTGTGGCACTGGGCCGCATGTTTGGACTGAAGTGGGCGTCTGGAGTGGGATGCGGTCTACACATGGGGGCTATTGCTACTGTATTAGCTCAAATAAAGGAAAAGAATACACTGGAAGATAAATACCATTGCCCATTCTTGCACAACGTTGGATTCCTTATCTATTTAGTAACATCTTAAAACAAACGCATTCACATATCACTGACTGTGTGAATAAATACCCAGTCTACAAAATATATCCACTCGAAAATTTAATGGGAAAGCATGAAAGGGAAATATAATGTACAAAATTGTACTACAAACGAAAATAATGTAAAAAAAAAAATTTGTATATATATATATATATAGGCATTTACTCTCATCCTGCACCTTTTATGATACCTGAAACTATGGCTTGATGAAAGCCGTGATATTACATTTTTAAAAGCAAGTGATCATTGATTGACACTATATATAATTTATTAATCAATCAATTTATTAATCAATGATCACTTGCTTTTAAAAAGTATTATCACAGCTTTCATCAAGCCAGTTTCAGGTATCATTCTGTAGCATAAAAAGTGCAGGATGAGAATAAATGCCTAAATTTATATAATAACACCAGATAATTCTTTCGTTTTCAAATATCAATATTTTACTTGAGTCATTTTGAGTATTAAGGGACCAAATGCATGTGAACTCACTGTGCATTATTTAAAAGTGTGAACTAATTTATTTGTTTGCCTTATACACAGTCCTGCTACATCCACTTGTAAATATTTTAGCACAAAATCCATCAATATGGTATTGTTGGCCAGCAGAGGTAGCAAAATGTGTAGAAAAATGAAATATACACATAGATATAATACAATACTATATAATACAAATAGCAGCGCATCATGTGGAGGTCATGGCAGCCCTGTCCTGCTCTTGTTTGTCTCTCTGCTTCTGCTTCATCTGTCTGTACAGCTGCACCACTCTCTCCCGCTCTTCCTCCACAATCCTCTTCCTCGCCATAGAAGGTTTGTTGAGCGACGCAGGACTGTGACCCAGGAGGGAGTTCAGGAGGAGGCCTTTGGTTGCCCCCTGGAGGAATGATCAGGATGATAGTAATGAACAAACAGCATTAATTAGCATCTCATAAAGGAGTGGATGCACTTAAAAGAATTTACCTGGGGTTTGACTACGGCTTTCTTTGGTTTAACACTCAGTGATGGAGGCGCCATGGCAACCTCTCCAAACGGTACCTCATCTAAGAGGAAGAGAAATGATGGAATATGATTATGTTTTGCAATTTGATCCCGAATTTTACAGATTAAATCTAATAAAATTGATGCATGCCTTTGAACATCTCCTCCTCTTCATGTTCCGCTTGTTGGTTTAGCTTCTTTTTCTGTTGCTGAAGTTTCCTTTTATGGAGCCTAAAATAAAGACAAAGACACTTTAACACACTAGTGCAGCGTTAGAAATTAATACAGGCTTTATTTATAGAAAAACCTGCATAATTACTATATGCATTTGCACTAAAAAATTGGCTACAATTAATCTGATTAGCTTTAAATCATGAACATCAATGCATGTCGAACCAGTGTTATTTTTGTATCATTGATATACTATTATAGTTTTTGTATTATATTTTATTTTTATTGTTGTGTGTTTAAATTTGTGTGTTTTTGTCATTTTATTTTATTAAATTTTAGTATTATTTATTATTTTTTGTATCTATTTTGAGTTATTTTAGTACTTCGACAATCTAAACAAAAAGAAAAAATGTTGCATTGGAAACTTGCTGAAATAAAAATATAATAAAATATAATATAATAAAAATAATTATAAAAATGTAAAAAATAAAAATTCTAATTATTTGAAGAAACTTTTTTTTATGGGTTTAGTTTTAGTTAACAATAATAACCCTGTGCTGAACTAACCATTTCCTTTTAGTGGATTTCTTCTCCTCTGTGTCCTCTTCTTTCTTTAGCTTGACCTCCGGATGTCTCTGTACCTGGTTGTTCGTGAGGAAGAGGACATGCTCAGTCTCTTCGGTCATGCGGCGGACATAATTCTTCTCGGACTCCTTTCGCCCTCTGCGGAAGTGTGGGATAGGAATATCTCCTGAGAGCATCTTTGGCTTAGAGGCTAAAATAAGAAACATATATGAACATACAGCAAGAAGTCCCCTCCTCCGCTGCCCTTGCCACTAGCCGTGTCATTGTGCAGTTTTTGTGGGTCACTAGCTTGTCTGCAGACAAAACCCAGACAGCATGCGGCCCACATGATCCAACTCAGTTTTCAAACTGCTAAACTACATGCAATTGTTTCAACAGAATCCCAGTAAATCCACACTCCCCTCAACAATAAATGGGTACCAATTATGTGGGTTGACAAAAATAAATATCTTATGAAAGTGAAAGATCAGACTTTCAGTTTCAAAATAATCACTACTGGCCCTCCAGGAATTATGACAATAATTCATATTGACATATTATTGTTAACACATTCATTATCAATAACACCATTACCAATCGTCAAGGCTTGAGTCACACTTTTTAATAAATGACCTATATTTATTAAAAAAGAGAGACTTTTTTTGTTCAAAATGAACTTTTATAAGTGAACTGCAGGAATTAACTTGAATATGAATCGTTTTTCATGTAAGTTTGGGTCTGCTTTTATTGTGCGGTACAAACTGCAACACGTAAAAAATTTTTTTTTAAATTGTGTAAGACCGGCAGTACCTTTTTTCCTCTTTTGGGAGCCCTGTTTCATCTTCTCTTTACTCTTCATGATTTCACGCAAGCGATGAGGAATCTGCTGGAGGTGGTCATCTGATGCAGGGTCAGCATTTTTCTTTGAATTCTTTTTACTAACAAAAGACAAGACACTTTACAATTAGATATCAACTTCAATCAACTGAGTAAACAAAAGCAATGTCTGAGCAATGCTAAATAGTGCAACTGTGAAGCAACAAAATGGTTTTCTGGAGCCTAGATTAAAAAAATTTTAATAAATAAATAAAAACTAACTTTCTTCTGTAAGTGTATGAGAAAAACCCACCATTCATTTCTTTAAAAAAAAAATAGAATGCAGGATGAACAACATTTAAGAACTATATATTCAAGAGTCCCACAACCAAAATACATTTCCATGACTTTTACAGTCATTTCTGTCTATGAATACACTGTCTAAGAAGATGGCATTTTCAGGTTTTCAAAACACATGGTGAATATTCCTATATCTTCCTGTGGAGTTTAGGCCTTGTAATAAGAAATGACAGATTCTGAAGGATGCAAGGCTATAAGCATCACATCTCTAGGCATACCCTGCACTGACTTCACCATTTTCTGTCAATCCAAGCAATGCTAAATAGTGCAACTGTGAAGCAACAAAACGGTTTTCTGGAGCCTAGATTAAAAAAAAATTTAATAAATAAATAAAAACTAACTTTCTTCTGTAAGTGTATAAGAAAAACCCACCATTAATTTCTTTAAAAAAAAATAGAATGCAGGATGAACAACATTTAAGAACTATATATTCAAGAGTCCCACAACCAAAACACATTTCCATGACTTTTACAGTCATTTCTGTCTATGAATACACTGTCTAAGAAGATGGCATTTTCAGGTTTTCAAAACACATGGTGAATATTCCTATATCTTCCTGTGGAGTTTAGGCCTTGTAATAAGAAATGACAGATTCTGAAGGATGCAAGGCTATAAGCATCACATCTCTAGGCATACCCTGCACTGACTTCACCATTTTCTGTCAATCCATATAACGTATATGGTTAAAATGAAATATTCTAGATTCTGGTTGTTAGTTTACTTCATCTTATTGATGTTTGTTTACCACTTAACAAGATTACCAGACATTTCCACAAACCTCTCCGAAACACCCTTATTGAAGAAGTTTTAAGCCTCTGATTTACCTGAAATGCTTCTCATTCTTCTGTTGTTTGAGCTGTTTTTCTGTTTTCATTGTGTACTTTTCAGTAAATAACGCTTCCTCCAGTGGACAGTAAACTCACGTGGCGTGTTTGTTCTGCTCGTCTTCCTCTACGCCGCGGAGATCAGCAGCACATCAGCGCGCTACTGCCGCTCACTGGCTGAGGAAGGAACTCGCACCGTCTGCGCGAACTCGTCTTCTTCTTCTTGGTGTTTAATGGCGGATGGCATACCACTTTGCTTTATCTGCATATCTATGTCTACTTTCTTTGTTGCTTCCTTTGGATATTCGTCTGCTAACTCATTTCCTTTTACACATGTGCTGCCTGGTACCCAACAGAAAGCTACATAAATTCCCATCATCTGGATCCTATATATTGTTTGAAGAATCTCAATCATTATATCTGCTCTGCTCTCTGAATGACATGTTTTAATTGTAATTAAAGAGGAACTTGAATCAGAACATATGCGTGACCGCATTGGCTTATTTTCCTCCACCCATTGCAATGCCAGTAAAATTGCAATCATTTCACCAGTGTAAATTGACAAATTATCTGTGATTCTTTTACTGACTTTGACATTAAATTCTGGGATACTAAATGCCACACCTACTTTGTCTTCCATATTTTTCGATGCATCAGAATATATTTGAACATAACCATAATAATTTTCATGAATGTACTTATGTGCTATTTGAACATTTGATTTGAACTTATCCTTATTTTCCTCACTTAACAATGTCATATCTACCGTAGGTTGAGATATTAACCACAGAGGGATTGTTGACCACGGAACTGTAGGGCTTATTGGAGTTTCACCAATTTCCATTTCTTTTACCACTCTAGGCACTTCCCATCCAAAACTTTTGATTTCTTTCTTTCCTTTTTCCCAGAACTTTGACATTAAATTCTAGGATACTGAATGCCACACCTACTTTGTCTTCCATATTTTTTGATGCATCAGAATATATAAGCATAACCATAATAATTTTCATTAATGTACTTATGTGTTATTTGAACATTTGATTTGAACTTATCCTTATTTTCCTCACTTAACAATGTCATATCTACCGTAGGTTGAGATATTAACCACAGAGGGATTGTTGACCACGGAACTGTAGGGCTTATTGGAGTTTCACCAATTTCCATTTCTTTTACCACTCTAGGCACTTCCCATCCAAAACTTTTGATTTCTTTCTTTCCTTTTTCCCAGAAAGGTTTTAGAACTACCCTAACTGGGTGATCTTGACTATGTCCTAATATATTGATCCGATTTCTTAGTGACAGTTCAATTCTTCTAAGTTCTAAAGGCATTTCTCCCATTTCAATCTGCAAGGCTGCAGTTGGTGTAGGCCTAGATCTCATCGCCCCCGTACATAATCTTAACGCCTTGTACT